GAATGCAGCTTTAAGGCCTTAACTTTTCAGATCTGAAGCTTCTCCATAACCAGCAATACTAGTTTGCCTGTTTGAACAGTAGTCATGGCTACTATTCATTGTGGTCAGCTTAGGTGATGTGTTTGGAAACAACAGGTATTACCAGCTGGTCTATTCAGTTACTTTCTATTTAATTCATTTAATGTCATGTGTTGTGAAGACCCATATTTTAGCACATCCTAGCACACTCACTCACTTCACCAGATGCACCTTGTTTAGTTCTCTCACCTTTGATTGGGTGTAGTGCTTGTCCTTAATTGCACTCACCTGTCACATGTTATATAAGGACTGCATTTACTTTTGGCTGACTCTTTCTTCACTCCCACACGGGGTGGCATTTTATGTATTGTTTAAGGTAATGAGTAACTTAAATCTCTATTTTCTTTCAGCATTGGCAGTCAATGTGTGTCTTTCCTTCTTTCCTTTATTGATTTGAGAATAAAAGGAGAACCCCGTGAATTATTAGATGACTGCTTATTCTCATTCTAATCAGATGAGCCCATGATGCTGATTACTTAAACCCTGAGCCTTCCTTCATAACATCATGCAAAACAAAAATAAATAAATAACTAGTGACGTGGCCCATGTCATCCTGTCAGAAGTCACACAGATCCACACAACATTCTGCTCAGTGACGTCGCAAACTGTGCGCCAGTGCTGCTGACTACAAATGTTGATGTAGAAATAAAACACGTTTGCAAGATTATTCAGCCCCACACCCCCAGTCAGCCAGATCATCACATCAAATAAATATTGTTTGAAGTGACAACGAAAAAAATCCAGAAAATAAAATTGATATGATTGTTTTCTGAGGTTCAGGCCAGTAATGATGAAAGTGTATTATCAAATCCCAAGAAGGACCCCAAGCTCACAAAAGAAACCAACTTTTCTGATCCTCCAGCTCCAGCTGTTCCTGCTGAACTTGTGATTATTATTTCAGCACAGGGTGGCAGTCACACCACAGAGTAACATCAGGCACGGTCCTTTCCACTCTGACAGAGACGTGCCCAGGCAACAATGCAAACTTTGCACCAGTGCCGCTCATTAGAATTGTTGATGTGACAGTGAAACATGTTTGCCTCATGTTTCAGCCTGTAAGTAAATAACTTTGACACAGTACAGCTTCTGCATCACCCCCTGCTGAAAGCTCATGCTTCACTGAGGTTCAGACCAGAGAAAATGTGATTATAATACCTAATCTGGAGAAGGACCCCTGACCCACAAAGGAAGCACTCTCTGTTATGGTTTCAGCTCCTTGTCCTCCTGTTGAACTCACAGAGCAGCCAACAACCATCTTACGCTTACTTATCCCCAGCTTAGATGAGTTCACCAAGGCCACCACAGTACAAGGCATTGCTGTGGTTCGATCTTCACTCCTCTTGAACCAGTTATCATTAATACAGATGAGAGTAGAACGAAGAAGAAAGCAAAGGGAAACTCCTCAAAACTCTGTCTATAAGAAAAAAAAATTAATTCTTAAGATCAGTTAAATTTGTACCATAACAAAGATTTTAAAACAAAATAGTCAATTACAAATAAAGATTAGTAAGTAACTGTCACGGTCGGGATGGTCTGTGTGCTTGCGGAGTGGACCCAGAGCAGACAAGGGAGAGAGAAAACTAAGGTATAACAAAAAGGGAGCCATTTATTTGGCTGATAGGGAAAAAAACACAAAACAAAGGCAAGGTGAACTGGGGCAAAACTAAACTAGAAACTAAACTGGAAACAGCTAAGACTAACTATGAGAACTATGACATAAGAACATGAACATGAATCTGAGCAGGAACATGAAAAAAACAAGATTTGAGGCAGAGAAGACAAAGGCATGAACATGGAGCAATGCAGACAATCTGACGCTAAACAGAGGGAGACAGAGGACTTAAATACACAGAAGGGTAATGAGGGAAGTGGAAACACCTCGGGAAACACAGCTGACACAAATGAACGTGACGCCACAGGGGAAGCAAAATTAAACACGGTGAACATAAATAAAATCTAAATAAAAACAGGAAACGTGGAGAGACAAGAGACAGAGAGAGGGAACGAGAGAGGCAGAGGGACAGAGGAGAGAGACACAAGGGGAACCTACATAGATGAGGAGATAATACGTGATAAACAGAAAACAAGGAGACATGGACGATAACATAAACCAGACTAAACTTCAACTAAGATGAACTAATAATAACCCCAGGACTCAACATTAACTCATAAGTAATCAAAAAATACAAAATAACTCAAAATGCTGGGTCACAGACTCAGCCCCCTGACAGTGACAGTATAGAAATAGAAAGCTTTGTGAAAGATCACAAGTTGTGCAAGAAGATCAGCATTTTCTTTAGGACAACTCGTCATCTAATAGGATTTTAAATCCTCTCCAACCGGTCATGGCAGATGGCTGCCCCTCCCTGATCCTGGCTCTTCTGGAGGTTTCTTCCTGTTGTAACAGGGTGTTCCCCTTCCTGCTGTTGCCAAGTGCTTGCACATAGGGGATCACCTGACTGCTGGGGTTTTCTCCCCCTCGTTCTAGTGTCCTTACCAAAAAATATAAAGTTGCTTGAGCTAACTGATACTGTGATTTGGCTTTATATTATAAGATAACTGAAATGTAATGGAATTAAACATCCTAACAACTTCTGAAATCATTTCCAGAAAAAAAATGGATAATTTGGCAAAAGTTATAGTTAAAAAAAAAGTCCAAATATGAATTCTACAAACAAAAAAACAAACAAACAAATCTTTTTACACGCATTTCAGCTATTGTGTGTTTTTGCAACCTGGACACATTTGTTGTGGAAAGGAGGTCACTAAAGAAACTGTTATCTATCACAGATAATCCTGATTACCTTCTGCACCACTTACTGGACAGTTCGTGCAGGACTTTCTCCAACAGACCGGCTCAGCTTCGCTGTCACACACACAGGTTGAGGAAATCTTTCACAGCTTGTGCATTAACTCTCTACATTGTGACACTTAACAGAGAAATCTGTTCTTTCACATTAACTTTATAAATATATATTGTATATTCAGGCTGGAGCCTATCCCACCTCTCATCATTCTATAACATGGCTAAGACATAGGGACACAACCTTACATACCTATGGCCAATTTATAATCACCAGTAGAGCTAAAATCCATGTTTTGGTGGGGGGTGGGGGTGTTCAGCATTGGCTGCTTTTTATAAGGATATAAGGATATTGTGTGCTCACAGTCAGCTTTCTTAGAGTTTGGGAAGTTCATTGATCCATTTCTTAACCTGTGAAAATGTCTCCCGCATTCGCCTCCAGCTTTGGCTCTCAGATCTAAGATAATTATTTTTTATGCTTTTGTCATGTCTACATTTCCGTGTGAGTGTACTATGGATGCATGGTTGTAATTATGCATCGTGTGAGTGAGTGTAAGTGCATATTTAAAAAATGGAATATTAAAATGACGTCAGCTCCTCCTGTAGCTCCAAACAATGAAGTAACTTATTTGGATCAAATAAATAAAAAATTAAAAATAATCTTTATCCAATAAAAAATTTGTGTGGAGATTTTAAAGTATTCACCTGGAAAAACTAGAGATCCGCCACCCCCCTTGCCCCTCCACAAAAATATAGCGCAAGAGAGAGGCAAAGCACAACAGCACATCCGTAGGCACTTTTCATTTAATTATAAAATGTGATCAGATCGCTAATCCATCCATCCATCCATTCGCTTCCGCTTATCCTTTTCAGGGTCGCGGGGGGCGCTGGAGCCCATCCCAGCTGTCATAGGGCGAGAGGCAGGGTACACCCTGGACAGGTCGCCAGTCTGTCGCAGGGCCAACACACAGGGACAGACAACCATTCACATTCATTCGCACATTCACACCTAGTGACAATTTGGATTATCCAATTAACCTATCCCCACAAGCTGCATGTCTTTGGACGGTGGGAGGAAGCCGGAGTACCCGGAGGGAACCCACGCAAACACGGGGAGAACATGCAAACTCCACACAGAAAGACCCCGGCCTGATAGTGGAATTGAACTCAGGACCTTCTTGCTGTGCGGCAACAGTGCTAACCACCGTGCCACCATGCTGCCTCCAGATCGCTAATATTTTTTTTAAAAAAGAAAGAAAAGACAGATTTGATATAAACATGTTCAAATGCCATGGTTACGTTTCTTCAAGGAGTTGAGAGTTATTACCAGCAGCAAACCAACTCTCGAGTAACCTGACATTTAACTGATGGGTGGCTTCAGAAAGGAATTAATAATATAATGAATTTAAAGTGTTATACATTTTAATGCATTTCCTGGGTGTCTTACAGCTTATCTGATATGTGAGATGGAAAAAGGAGATGCTTTAAATCCTGACACTCAAATTTGAGCCAGATTCAGAACAATTGTGGTTTAATGCTGCCTAAAATGTGCGTGCATCCCTGTCAAACGCTGCACTACAGTTTGCTGTATGTTGACAAAATATCTTTCTGTGCATGTTCTCGAGGGCCGTGGTAATCCATCGACAGCAAGTCACTGGACAAAAGTGATGGATGGACTTGTGGACAGTGGCAGAAATAGCATAATATATTACACCACTGAAAGAAACATCTTTTATTCCCCCATTTATGATTCCCTTTTTAACATCAGTGACCCTGTGGTTAATGAGCTTGCTCTCCCCTGCCTGAGCTCCATGGCTTTAATCCAGGCCTCCTGAACACTACGAATCACTCAACCAGAGGGTGAAAAAAGAGCACCTACCCTGGGAGCTGGTGTGAGCTTCTGGGACATAAGACTAGATAAAGTTATTCAGGGTATACATTCTGCATGAAACCAGCTGTATGAGCTGAATTACGCCACTGAATAAATCCACTTACAAAAGCATAAACTTTGGGTGTGGAGGTTTTAAATGAATATTAAAGAGAGCAGAATGTGTGACAGAAAGATATGTTTGCTCCCACACTGCCAAAAGCCTACACGGACCAGAATGCAATGCAGGAAGGAGGTGTACAGCAATCCATTTAATAAACTAGTGAACCCATCACCACACTCACAGATTGGTACATCAAACTCAAACATGGGGGGTGTGCATGAAAGAACAAAAAATAAATTTATGCTTTACACCTTGTCATTAAAATGTGTAACCAGAAGTGACACAACAAATGATTCGCTTGTGTGTGAAAAGGTGGATTTTTTTCTTCAAAAGTAAAATCACTTTATATTTTGACGTCTCCTGCTATAATTGAATCAAATACATCTGGCGTGAGTGGAGTATAGTTCTTCTCTTTTTCATTCAGAAAGTAGAGTGGGTCTGTTATTTCATTTGGGTTGAAGCCCTGCTCCACTACTTTCGTCTTTATTAGCTTGAACGTGCCTGTAATGTCCAGTGACCTCTGTAATAAATCACAGTACAACCAATTATTAGTGGGCTAAATAAATCACTATGGCAACAAAGAGGCTTACCCACAAATGCATTTGTAAAAGTGTAAAATAACTGCAGTAAACATACTTGAATCCTCATAAAGCGTGGCCTGGCGTAGGACGGCAGGATGTCCTCGGCATGTTTAAAAACAGCCGTGGAGTCAAACTTCAGTCCATCCATCAAAGTAACAGCAGCCATCCCGGCTCTTCCCTCCTGGCCTGGAGACAAAAGTTAAACAATCACAAAACAGGAGTTAACTGAAGTTCAGTATTGCTAATCTCACGATAGTGTGTCAAAAAAATCTCAGGAAGCTGGACAAGTGGAGGACAAAAGAAAAGGACAGGGCTAAGAAACCTACAGCAGATGAACAACATCTGAAAGTTATGTCCTTAAGAAATAGGAAAGTTGATCCATCTACTGTTCATAGAAGCCTCATCAGAAATCTCAATAGAAGAGTGGCTGTCAAGAAGCCATTCAAAGGATGTGAAACAGGGAGAAAAGGCTAAGGTATGCCACATTATACAAGAACTAGACTAAAAATCGGTGGTGACAGGTGTTATGGAGGGATGAATCTACATATGAAATTTCTGGTTCATGCCATCATGAACATATACGGAGGAGGTGAGGAGAGAAGCACAACATTGAGTGTTTACAGACACAATGGAGGCTGGTTTGGGGCTGCATTTCAGCCATTGTTTGGAAATTGATGGAATTATGAATGCAGAATGGTATTGTCTTATTTTAATCCACCATGCAGTAGTATTTGGAAAGCATTTGATTGACAAGAGCTTCATTTTTCTGCCTCACAATGACCCCAAACACACTGCCAATGCAGTAAAAACAAAGTTGGATAGAAAAACATACAATGGATCACTATCAGTCATGAATTTGTATCCTCAGATCTTGGACTACAAAATTATTGAAGTAGTGCGGGATCATCTGGATGGAGCACAGAGCAACAAGCAGCATATTTTGTACGGCTATATATAAAGATTCAAAGTTTGGTGAGGTTTGTTAATGCCATCTTAGAGCTCCTTTTTGTTTTAAAAAGAATTCATTTTTATGCATAGCGAAGAAAAAATGCTGGATATCATTGTTAAACAATTTGATCATTGATTCAGTAGCATGTGTTTCTTGGTTTTGGTGCAAGCGCAGCAACAAAGCAACATGTACCTGGCACTTTGACTCCGTAAACATTGGCTTCTTTAACGCAGTCAGCCAGCACGAGGATGTCGGCCACCTCAGTTGTAGCTACGTTCTCCCCTTTCCATCTGTTGGTAATTTTTGTTTTTTTTCAGTGCTCTGTGTGAGCTCACATTTTTAAGCATTATTTCAAAACATGCGCTCACCTGAATGTGTCGCCAACACGATCGTGGAAGTACATGAAATTATCCTCATCGATGCGCAGCAGGTCGCCTGTGTTGAAGTACAGATCACCTTTCTTGAAGACGTTGTGCAGCTTCTTTTTCTCAGTTTGCTTCATGTCTCTCACATAACCAGTGAATGGAGCTTTGGCTGTTATTTCAGTCACCAGAAGTCCAGGTTCACCTGATCAAAGTAGAGGAGAAGTCATATTTGGGATTGTTATATTTTAAAGTCAATATTAATGAGATTTCAATAAATACTTATTTTTAAAGATGCATGGGTGAGAACTTTAGAAATATAAATAAAAGGGCAGGAAACAAAGAATCCTTGGTTTTGTAAGCATCCTGCAAGTAACACACCTCTCTGAACCTCCATGCAAAAACCAGAAGAATCCCTCAAAGGTTCTTCTTTGTCTATGTCATATTTGATCACAGCATATGGAAAAAACATCTGTAAGTTTAAAAAAAAAAGCTAAAACACTGCTTCATGAGTGACAGGTTTTACTTCTTAATGTGAGCTGAAACATGGACTTTTACCTTGTGCAGGAAGGTGTGTCGCCCAAGAGCTCCCATCTTGCTGCTATAATTCAACAGAGCAAAGTTTCCCTCAGTTGCTCCGTAAAATTCTCTGATTTGAATTTCCCCAAATCGTCTCACAAAGTCCCTCCAAACATCTGCTCTGATCCCGTTGCCTACTGCAAGTCTGACTTTGTGGTTTTTATCACTGAGTTTCTGTTTGAAGAGAAAAGAAGAGCATGCGTTTGTTAGTTTTTTAAACCTTTCTGTGTGAGACAGTAGTATTAATGTTGGTGCTGTGTTGGTACAAACCTGTGGAGTGTTGCAGAGATAACGCATAATTTCACCTATGTACTGTATGACGGTGACATTATATTTTCTGCAGTCGTCCCAGAACTGGGAAGCAGAAAACTTACTCCTCAGAACAACAGGAATACCTGCACACAACAATAGATGACAACAGCACACTTTAAAGAGTAGCAGTGGAAGTAGTCAAAATTTTGGGTTTTTCAACAAATATGTAACATATAGTTACATATATGTAACTATGGTTTTTATATTACATTGGTTAAAAAAATAAATAAAATAAAGTCATACATCAATCATATATCTAAAAAAACACAATAGTATATATCCAAAGAGTTCATACCCCTCTCAATGGCCCCAGTGAAGACAAGGAAGCCGGTGCTGTGATAAAGCGGGAGGGTATCATAAATCACATCTTTGGAGTTCACTCCTGATGAAGGCAGAAGTAAAGACATGGTCCACACTCTGCCTTGAGTGATCAAAGCTGCTTTAGGGAGACCTGTTAAAGACAAGCCAGAGGCTCAGGTGGCGAATCTTCTGTTTCTTTCACTGATGCATCGTGAATCTCAGTAAGTAGTTTACCTGTTGTCCCTGAGGTGTATATGTAGGCTGCTGGACTCTGCATGGTTAAATGGGACCTTAACTCCTTGGGTATAGGCTCAGAGGAAGCCTGATTCATTTTATCAATGAAGCTTTCCACACCTGTAACTTCACATCTGTCAGCTAAGATGAAAACATTGATCTGCTGTTCGTGAAGATGGGGCAGCACCTCCTTCACTGCATCCAGCAAGTCTAGAAAATTGTTTCATACAATTGATGAACTCCAGGCCTGTCAGATTATTTATTTATGTATTTATCTGGTTATTTAATGTTGAGTAAATGAGCTCTCTACTGTCTCCATCGCTTGGAAAAGCAGACAGAAATGCAGGTACTACCTTCAGCTGCTACCAGAGTTGTGGCTCCGCTGCAGTTGAGGCAGTGTAGCAGAGACTTGGATCTGATGTTGGAGTTGAGCAAAGCTCCAGCGCATCCAATCTTCACCAAACCCAACCAGAGCCACAGGAACATCGGCTGGTTCCCCAGGAACAGCGCCACCGTGTCTCCTTCTTTTACGCATCCAGCCTGCAGAAACGCTCTCGCAACCTTGTTGCTCAGGATGTCTGCGTCCCGGTACGTGAACGTTTCATCTTTAAAATAAACGAAAGGCTTGTGCGGCTGCGTCTTCACCAGCTCTAAAAAGCGGTCCAGGATTGAGTAATTAGTCTGCACGCACTTTTCGATGAACCGCCTTACTTTTATTTTAGTGAGCACGAATTGGACATCCTGGAGGAAGGAAGAATGGCGGAGTAAAACGCCACATGCAATCAAAGCCGCACACACTGTCCAGACCAACATGTTTTTCTCACAGCTGTCCTGCTGAAGACAAAGCAGAGGTATAAAAAGGCATGTGGAGCAGGAGGAGGAGCACTGAGAAATTCCAAAGGTTGAAAAGCATTTTGTATTGCTAGTGAACAACCAGATGAGCTGCATCAATGATTTACAGTATAACATACTGCTTTCACGTGTTTTAGGCCTTTCACTGGCTTTATACCGAGTGACCACTTTAGATCGTGCTAGTGGACCAAAATTAAGCCCAAACAGACTGTGAGAGGGTAGCACCTGATGACCTGAACATGAAGACAGGCTGGAGATTGTCGGATCTCAGCTAAGCTTTTGCTGGGCTGTGTTCGCTCACACAGAAGGGCAGGTGCAAGTTAACCTTTAACTTGCAGTTTTGCCAAGAGCCACTGGTGAGTCTGTTGGGGCACAAGGCAAAAATTCAGAGGAACCCTTTAACTAGCACCAAATACTCTGACTATCAACAATAACTGTCTAGAAGGAAAGTGAAACCCTTTTCTGTGTCCGCTGCATCAGCCAGCAACATCAGGGAATTAGGCAGTCAAGGCCCCGATGTTTCTGACCTCACTGTTTATAATGAGATTACTAAGAAGACTCCTCATACCGAGACGTTTGTGCAGACAAAGAGGAGTATGCACAGAGAGCCTACTCCTGGCTCTGAATGTGAGAAGCTGCAGGAAATCTGGTTGAGGCCTCTGTTTTATGACTTGAGGCAGCACCAACAGGACAGCAGCTTTGACAGTCCCTCCTAACATCAAAACATTCTAAACGTTATGATCCCCAGTTTATGTTTTTCCCAGTGGTCCTAAGTTTCAACTGTATAAATTCCAATTAACATGTATCTGTTGTGGAAATATTAGTAATAGTAACAAGAAGTTGTGTGCCAGAAAAGCCAGACAGCTGTTAATTATTGAGCTTCAAAGATGTCAGAGAGGATTTCGTAACCTGCTGCTGGCTGGAGTTTACATATTTACAAAGTATGTATAGAGGAGGTTCCTGATTAACTCTAGTGAATATGAATGTTTCTTACTGCTTTATTGCCTTGTGTAAACAAACGCAGGCTAAATTCCATATCAGGAGTAACACTTCAATAGCTAAATTCAGTGCAGTTTTGGACCTCTCAGTCAGTTTTGAGTAAATCTGCTTCTGTCCAAAAGCTTTTAAGTGGTCTATTACTTTAGCAGTATAGTTTATTACTGTGTGTATGTGTGTGTGTATGGTCAGATTTATAGTGTCACGGTTGCCGAGGCGAGCCGTGTGGTGTTGGGGGAAAGGAGGACCCAAAATGCAGGCAATGACTGATGATTCGAGTGACATTTATTTACAAGGTAGTGTAATGGCAAACAGGCAGTGAGGGATGACAAGTAACTAAAGAAACCTAAACTGGGAAAACTAAATAACAAACCTGAGAACACACGAAACGAAGTGCGGGGCAGAGAGGCGCAGCGAGAGGAACGAAACACTGTGGAACACAGACGAACCGGCAGCAGGCAGGAGAACACACAGGGCTTAAACACACACAGCAGTAATCAGGGGATGAGAAACAGGAGGGCAACACACCTGGGAGAAGTCGGAGCTGGCGGGACAAGGGAAACGTAAACTGAACACACTCACATGAGACGGGGACCTTCAGAATAAAACAGGAAACTCAGACACAGAGAACCAGATAAGACACTGAACTAAACAGACAGATTCACAAACAGACAGTGTGACACCATAGACAGACAGAACACAGACGTGGGACCAGGGCAAGCACAGAACAGAAACCTAACAAATGGCAAATCATAACAGAATACATACTCAGAATAAACAAAAGCATAAAGAGACACAAAACACTGAGTCTGCAGACTCAGGACCATGACATATAGATGTTCAAACAAATCTTTAAACATGCATCAAAAGATTTGTTACTCTTGAGATGACTCACCCTCGAGTCAAAATTCACAAGTTGCAAACAACTTTACACCTGTTTCAATATCCAAGTAGAAAGTAGAAGTAGAAAAAGAGGCACTGGCGTCTAGTCTACATGGGCATTTGAGCGATTTCGTGATTTCCTGATTGGTAAACATTGTTGTCTCGAAACGGACCACAAACCTCTCGTTTCCTTACTGGGAGGACAAGCTCTGGATCTCTTGCCACCCAGGATCTAGCAATTCAGAATGAGACTCATGCGTTACTCGTACAATGTGCAGTACGCCTCAGGGAAATCGCTCTGGACAGCAGATACTTTGTCCCGCTCGCCTCTGAAAAAAACAGTGAACATGTCAGACAAAGAGCTAATGGAAAGCACAGACATACAGGGAATGCAGAATTATCAGGCAAGTTGTATTTTTGAGGAATAATTTTATTATTGAACAACAACCATGTTCTCAATGAACCCAAAAAACTCATTAATATCAAAGCTGAATGTTTTTGGAAGTAGTTTTTAGTTTGTTTTTAGTTTTAGCTATTTTAGGGGGATATCTGTGTGTGCAGGTGACTATTACTGTGCATAATTATTAGGCAACTTAACAAAAAACAAATATATACCCATTTCAATTATTTATTTTTACCAGTGACACCAATATAACATCTCCACATTCACAAATATACATTTCTGACATTCAAAAACAAAACAAAAACAAATCAGCGACCAATATAGCCACCTTTCTTTGCAAGGACACTCAAAAGCCTGCCATCCATGGATTCTGTCAGTGTTTTGATCTGTTCACCATCAACATTGCGTGCAGCAGCAACCACAGCCTCCCAGACACTGTTCAGAGAGGTGTACTGTTTTCCCTCCTTGTAAATCTCACATTTGATGATGGACCACAGGCTCTCAATGGGGTTCAGATCAGGTGAACAAGGAGGCCATGTCATTAGTTTTTCTTCTTTTATACCCTTTCTTGCCAGCCACGCTGTGGAGTACTTGGACGCGTGTGATGGAGCATTGTCCTGCATGAAAATCATGTTTTTCTTGAAGGATGCAGACTTCTTCCTGTACCACTGCTTGAAGAAGGTGTCTTCCAGAAACTGGCAGTAGGACTGGGAGTTGAGCTTGACTCCATCCTCAACCCGAAAAGGCCCCACAAGCTCATCTTTGATGATACCAGCCCAAACCAGTACTCCACCTCCACCTTGCTGGCGTCTGAGTCGGACTGGAGCTCTCTGCCCTTTACCAATCCAGCCACGGGCCCATCCATCTGGCCCATCAAGACTCACTCTCATTTCATCAGTCCATAAAACCTTAGAAAAACCAGTCTTGAGATATTTCTTGGCCCAGTCTTGACGTTTCAGCTTGTGTGTCTTGTTCAGTGGTGGTCGTCTTTCAGCCTTTCTTACCTTGGCCATGTCTCTGAGTATTGCACACCTTGTGCTTTTGGGCACTCCAGTGATGTTGCAGCTCTGAAATATGGCCAAACTGGTGGCAAGTGGCATCTTGGCAGCTGCACGCTTGACTTTTCTCAGTTCATGGGCAGTTATTTTGCGCCTTGGTTTTTCCACACGCTTCTTGCGACCCTGTTGACTATTTTGAATGAAACGCTTGATTGTTCGATGATCACGCTTCAGAAGCTTTGCAATTTTGAGACTGCTGCATCCCTCTGCAAGATATCTCACTATTTTTGACTTTTCTGAGCCTGTCAAGTCCTTCTTTTGACCCATTTTGCCAAAGGAAAGGACGTTGCCTAATAATTATGCACACCTGATATAGGGTGTTGATGTCATTAGACCACACCCCTTCTCATTACAGAGATGCACATCACCTAATATGCTTAATTGGTAGTAGGCTTTCGAGCCTATACAGCTTGGAGTAAGACAACATGCATGAAGAGGATGATGTGGACAAAATACTCATTTGCCTAATAATTCTGCACTCCCTGTATAAGTGGACAGTATTGTAACAAACATGCCTGTCAGTTCCTCATATATGCAAACTCTGAAGGAACAACTGAAAAGCGACAGTGTGTGTGCTCGCGTCATGGACATGTGCACCCAAGGCTGGCCAGAACATGCAAAACAAGAGCCTTTACTGAGAAATTACTGGCCTGACCGAGCCACGCTCACAAGACGGCCTTTTGCTAAAAGATACACGGCTTGTCATTCCTTCAGCGATGAGAAACAAGGTGCTGGAAAAACTACACGAAGGACATCAAGGTGTTGTAAAATGTAAAGCTTGTGCACGCCAAACAGTGTGGTGGCCCGGGCTGAGTCAACAAATCTCTGAGATGGTGCTCAGAAGCAGAACGTGCTGTACAGACTGTAAAAAATCTTCTGAAAAAAGCAGCTGATCCTTATCTAGCTCTTCTTGCCTATAGAGCTACACCACTCCAGGCCGGATACAGCTGACTGAGCTTTTAATGGGCAGACGTCTGCGAACCACACTGCCAACACTTCCATCGCAGCTGGAGCCTACACTGCCGGACGGCGCACTGCTTGCTCAAAAGGAAAGGGAGAAGAGGATGATGGACGTGGCAATGTCTAACAGGCGCCACCGTGCAAAACCTTTATGCAACCTCTCCCCTGGAGAGCAAGTTTGGGTGACCGATGTCAAAACTCCAGGCACTGTTATCTAAAATCACTCTACACCACGATCATACACAGTGGAGTTACCACAAGGGACTGTGAGGCGTAATCACATGCATTTGATTCCTTTAAGTTCACCAGTGCACGAACCTGCTAATGTGCCTGTGTTGCAGAAACCACAAACACCCAGTGTAATCCCTGCTACACCTGTTAACGCTGATGTTGTCTGAACCAAGTCAGGGAGGGCAATAGTTAAAGCTAAAAAGTTAGATCTATAAGAGAAAAAAAAGGTTGTTGTTATATAACTGTGTTACAATGGTTTTGTAGAGCACAGTAAAACAAATCAAAAAGAGTTGTCAAAAAAAGAAGAAGAAAGAAATGAAAAAAGGAAATAAAAACAAAAGGTTAAAAATGTGATGCAGTTTGTTTGCCAGATGTTTTTGTTTGGCTTTGAAAAAGAAAAAAATAATCAAAAGGTAGTCCACTCGAAGGTTCTGTCCTGAGAAAAGAAATATTCTGTTTTTGTTTAAAAGGGGAGATGTGGTGTATTCATAATTGTCCCTGGTACATTTGTTGTATGGGCAGTATGTGTTTATTGTTCGATTGTGTAATTACGTGTTACGCACTGGCAATGCATGCCAGGAGGCGGTAATACAGTGAGTAAAGAGTTGGTCTTACGGCACTCAGTGGTCCTGCATACTTATTCAGATTCAGAGTAAGAATCACACAGAAACTAGCAAGCTAACTCCCTGCTAACTTCTGACTCCGTTAAATTTCATAAATTTGGTTTTCGTGGATGCCTGGATGTTAAACTTAATTGTTACACCTGGTAGAGCAGCAACGCTGATCATTTTATTACAGATGAAAGGATTTAGACAGTTTTTAACTCCCAGTGATACTGCAGTGTTCGTTTGACTTTGGGACCTGAAGAGGAGTTTGGGCCCAAGCACGGCCAATGATGTCAGACTTAAAGACCGGATTCAGCCATCAATAAACGGCTCGCTCTTTGTTAAATCATAGATTTGGTCCAAGTGTCTGCATTTGGGTCCACCTCCTCTCTCCACATGGTCTGCCAGCACAGACCTATGACAAATGGAAATGAGGTAGATGGTGCAGTTTTCTTGAATAGCCAGAAACAAGCAAGGGGTTTGTCATAATCTATAGCAGCATTAAATTTAAAATAAAGGGAGTTTGGACCAAAAGCATTTTAACTCCGTTTAAAAATTACGGTGCTTTCAGATGTCTCATTTATTGTCACTGTCAGCTTTTATCTTCGATGTCACAATGTTGCATTCAGTCATCATGGTATGCTTTAAACTCTTTGCCTGTACACCCTTTGCCCCCTGTGATCACTGCTTCAGATAAGCTATACTGAAATATAGGGTACAATCCTCTGACTGACAAAGAAGGATAACCCTGCTGCACTCTAGTGTCACGAAGTCTAAAGTTAATAAAACTTGCGTACTTCTAAAGTCGAATCCATCAGTGAAAGTTCATGACCGCAGCACGACTTCAACTGACCTACAAAGTGCAAACACCACTGAGAAAGTAGGGCAGGTTTTATGATCGATCACATTAAAGAACAAAATGAACTTTTAAAAAATGTACTACACTTCATAATCCTCTCATTGAAATTTTTAGAATGTCTGAAAATTTCTAGATTAGAACAAAAGAAGTGAATGTAGAGGAAGAGTCCAATTATTTTCTGTAGTGATATTTGGTGTAAAGCAAATATTTTTAATAAATGCACCAATATATAAAAGATTCAAAGTTTGGTGAGGTTTGTTAATACCATCTTGGAGCTAAAAGTTACCCATCTATTGAGAATGTGTTTTTACATTTTGCCAAGAAAATGCTGGAAAACATTGTGAAACAGTTTGATCATTGATTCAGTAATCAAACTAAGTGCAGTGTACTTTGATTTGAACATATGTTTCTTGGTTTTGGTGCAAGCGCAGCAACAAAGCAACATGTACCTGGCACTTTGACTCCATGAACAGTGGCTTCTTTAACGCAGTCAGCCAGCACGAGGATGTCGGCCACCTCAGCTGTAGCTACGTTCTCTCCTTTCCATCTGTTGACATTTTTTGTTTTCAGTGCTCTGTGTGAGCTCACATTTTTAAGCATTATTTCAAAACATGCGCTCACCTGAATGTGTCGCCAACACGATCGTGGAAGTACATGAAATTATCCTCATCGATGCGCAGCAGGTCGCCGGTGTTGAAGTACAGATCACCTTTCTTGAAGACGTTGTGCAGCTTCTTTTTCTCAGTTTGATTCATGTCTCTCACATAACCAGTGAATGGAGCTTTGGCTGTTATTTCAGTCACCAGAAGTCCAGGTTCACCTGATCAAAGTAGAGGAGAAGTCATATTTGGGGTTTTTATATTTTAAAGGCAAGATGCATGATACATGCTGTAAAGACATTGCATTTCTGAGTCTTTTAAACTTTCATTTTGTGCATGGTGAGGTACACTGTGGCTGAGAAAAGGAACTGTGTAGATTTGGATTAAGGCATATAAAATGTTTATAGCATTTGAAAAGATGCATGGGTGAGAACTTGAGAAGAAAAGAGAAGAAAAAAAATATATTTTGCGTTATAACCTTCCTGGAAGTAACACACCTTTCTCAACCTCTATGAAGAAACCATATGAATCCCTCAAATGCTCTCCTTTGTCTTTGATCACAGCATATGGAAAAAACATCTACAAATTCAAAAGAAAAAGCTAACACACTGCTTCATACTACACAGTGTGAGCTGAAACATGGATCTTTACCTGTCTCGCCCATGATCTCCCATTTTGCTGCTATATTTCATAGTGCTATGCATCAACAGAGCAAATTTTCCCTCGGTTGATGCATAAAATTCACTGATTTGAATTTCTCCAAATCGTCTCACAAAGTCCCTCCAAACATCTGCTCTGATCCCGTTGCCTACTGCAAGTCTGACTTTGTGGATTTTATTACTGAGTTTCTGTTTGAAGAGAAAAAGAAGAGATAACGGATAATTTCACCTATGTACTGTATGACTGTGACATATTTTCTGTAGTCGTCCCAGAACCGGGAAGCAGGTAATTTACTGCTCAGCAGCACCTGGCTGCCAAGTCAAACGACTGTATAGGGTCCTATGGATGTGTTCTTTTTCACATGACCATATGTCCCATTTAAGACGATGTTGCCTCTCTTGACTGTTTTCAGTCTGCCTCAATGTAGAAGATTCCTACAACTTATCCCAAAACACACGTTACTTTAAGATTAGGCTTAAAACTTTCCTTATTGCTGAAGCATGTAGTTAGGGCTGGATCAGGTGACCCTGAGTCCTCCATTAGTTATGCTGCAATAGGTGTAGACTGCTGGGGGACTCCCATGATGCACTGAGTATTTCTTCTTTAATCACCTTTCTCACTCACTATGGGTTAATAGACCTCTCTGCACTGAATGATACTTGTTATTAATAAATCTCTGTCTCTCTTCCACTGTACGTTTTTTATCCTGTCCTCCTCCTCTCACCCCAGCCCGTCACAGCATGGCTGCCCCTCCCTGAGCCTGGTTCTGCTGGAAGTTTCTTCCTGTTAAAAGGGAGTTTGTCCTTTCCGGTGTCGCCAAAGTCGTATTATTGTTGAGTTTTTCCTCTGTATGTATTATTGTACGGTCTACCTTACAATATAAAGGACCTTGAGGTGACTGTTGTTTTGATTTGGTGCTGCATAAATAAAATTGAATTGAAAATACTCTGACTTTGGCGTAAACAACATGAAATCATGCATCAACAGTTCAGGCTACTGACGGTGATCCAAAGGTATGGGGGATATTTACTTTGAGCCCTTTAGTACAAAAAGACATCACTAAAGCCCGGTTACTCACTACTTATCATATTAGATGATCAGTTCCTTCGCTTGCCCATATTAATATTATTATTAGTAGTATTATTGCAAATATATTGTGCACACAAAGTGCATACATAGTCTACAAACTACAATGTCCAATGATAACTACAAATAAGGCAGTGAAAGAGACATACAATATCAGTAGGTCTTTAATTAAAAAAATATATATAACATGGACGGACCAGAATGCATTGAAGGAAGAAGGTGCAGAGCAATGCGTTTACTTAACTGAAACAATTCACTGAGTGAACTCACAGCTCAGTACATCCGTAGAAGGCTAAATCATTAAGGATGTGTGCATAGAATCACAGCTAAAATCAAATTATGAAGGCAAAGATATAATTTCAAACACCTTATCAACAAAATTTGCAGCCAGAAGTGCCACGCTGTCATCTCAATGATTTTCTTACATAGGTGATTTTCTTTCCTTTAAAAAGTAAAATCACTTTATATTTTGATATTTCCTGCTACAATTGAATCAAATACATCTGGCGTGAGTGGAGTATAATTCCTCTCTTTTTCATTTAGAAAGTAGAGTGGGTCTGTTATTTCATTTGGGTTGAAGCCCTGCTCCACTGCTTTCGTCTTTATTAGCTTGAACGTGCCTGTAATGTCCAGTGACCTCTGTAATAAATCACAGTACAACCAATTATTAGTGGATAAAATAAATCATGCAAGCAACAAAGAGGCTTACCCACAAATGCAAAAAAGTGTAAAATAACTGGAGTAAACATACTTGAATCCTCAGAAAGCGTGGCCTGGCGTAGGACGGCAGGAAGTCCTCGACATGTTTAAAAACAACCGTGGAGTCAAACTTCAGTCCATCCATCAAAGTAACAGCAGCCATCCCGGCTCTTCCCTCCTGGCCTGAAGACAAAAGTGAAACAATCACAAAACAGGAGTTAACTGAAGTTCAGTATTGCTAATCAAAAGTGTCAGTACTGAGCAAAAGTCTTGAGCCACCACTCATCTCTTCATATTTTGACTTTGTCAACTGTTCTTATGCAATAGTTTTCCAGGCTTCCTTAAGATCTGTCAAACTCTTTCTTTAGACATTGGCTGCTTTCTCATTCATTTTTAGTCCAGTTCTTATCTCTGACCATTTTAAGAGGAATGTTTTTTTTGTTTGTTAAGCCATATGACTGTCATGGTCCTCCAGTCCTCCTGTGCTGGCTCCCCATTTCTCTCTCCACTGCCCATCTTCTATCCTTTGTGTGTGTCGCCTGCATTGTGTGTGCGCTCATGCATGAGAGAGAAAAAAAAATACACACTTTTTGATACAGGGACAGGTCATTCCTCTGCATCCTGTCTTTTAGTCCATCATGCCTGTGATGATGAACTCACTTGTTGGTAATCCTGTAATCAGCTGGTCACTACTTAAGGAGAAGGAAGGCCTGATTGTTAAACTGGATGCAGTTTAACAATCTCTTACCTGACAAATTGTAGGGCTGCGTTTGTAAAGCTTTAGCATATTGTATTCTCCTCTGTGCAGATTTTTGAACATTCATACCATAGCTGGACTGGCCATCGGGCATTTGCTCGGTGGGCCGATGATTTATAAACAATGAAAGGTGGTGGATTGGCCAGATGCTGGCCGGTGTGTAAAAATAACTCAGTTGTTTGGTGGTGGATGTGGCGGAGCTTCCACAGATTCAGTAATATTAACAAGTGGTGGAGGCCAGCAGGTGGATGAGGGACAGGGGAAGCAGGAGGAGGAGAGACCCGAGGCAGCTGATGGTCTGAGTGTCATGTGAACTGAACTTCAGGTAAGAAGTTATGACCTGCAGTCTCTCTGGGTCACATATAAACCAAATTTAGGTGGAGTTTATTTTTGTTATGCTGACTTTTTACAGTCAGTTACAATAACTCGTACTGCGTACTAGCTAGCATGACAGAGTTTCTCTACAGCTGGGTGGGTGCTATGATGTTACTGATGTTGAACTTTATTTTGTTCATAAGGTTAGTTAGTAGATTTGCCAACCGTCCCGTACAAACGGAATCGTCCCGCATTCAGAGAAATTATTACGCGTTTCGTGTTGAGCTGAGAGGAGACGCAGTTTGTCTAGGATGGAAAAAGACACAAAGGTGGATTTATTCTGTCGTTACGCTGCACAGCTGCCTCTTCTTCTCTCATTCTCTCCTTCATTCTCTCATGAGTGGGAGACCAAAGATCACATTAACATGTGTGTCTCTGTATTAACAGACATGCCATATTGGCTTAGTTTATTTTTCTTATCATTGTTGTGAGGAGACCATAAATAGCATTTGTATTTTCTGTTGTACAGTCCATCTGCTGTTATGGAGTTCTTCTTATGGATAAAAAGTGTCTTTTTTTGTTTCAAAATAGCTGATAACTATTCGCTGATAGCGGCCAACATCCGCAAACAAATATAATTCTATAAAGTGGTTCTATATATTGTGTAACTGCTAATATAGAGCGTTATTAAATTTATTGCTAATGCAATCATATGGCACACTGACTTCTGAGGAAATTTTAAATGGCACTCGCCCTCAGAAAGGTTGCCTACCCCTGATGTAAAAGATGGATGAAGCCACTGATGTCATCCAGTGCTCTTTGGACTGTTTGTTTTATGGAGATAAATGTTTAATCTCAGTTTGCTGCTCCGTTTGGTTAACCCTCATAATGTCCTCCCGATTTTCATACACCTGTGGTCCTCAGGGACAAAAAAAATGACCCAAGGACAACACAATTAAAGCTTGCTTTACCTTTTCTTCAGCAGCTTCTCAAGTTGGTTATGGTCCATTACATCACAGCCGACGGCGTTTCCTGGATCGTGTCATCTCCTGTCCGGTTCCCGTGGTGGGCTTAGGTGTCCAAAACCCTGCTCGCTGCTGTTTTTTTTACATCTTGGGAGTCGTGGAATAAACCTTTTTTGCACCTATTAACCTGGGCTTTACAGACAACTTCTACTCAGGCTCCAGCTCCAACGAGGACTGCTCTAATAAATCCGCAGTCCTTAGCAAATAGAACGTACATTATAAACATTTTTTTTTTCTTCCAATGAATTGAATCTCCTTTTTGTTTGGGGAAACCTGCAGTCGGCTGAGACTGAAGAAGTCACTTGGGTAAGTGATGAAACGTTTCTCCCACAAAACGCTACATCCAGATGAACAGAATCAACTTTTGGAGATTTACTTACCTGGATGATTGAGCATGCATCAAGACATCTTGTCACTGAGTTACCGCTCTTATCAGGTAACATAGTTATTCGTACCATCATGAACCATTTTTCCAAGGCTGTACCACTTTGTGGCCCTGTCTAAACTGCCCTCAGCTCCTGAAACAGCAGAGTTACTTGGCCAATATGTCGTCCAGCTTGACGGCTTCACATCTGACATTGTCTCCGACTGAGGACAACAATTTACCTCTTGCATCTGGAAAGAATTTTTCACCATCCTTGGGCCACGGGCCAGGTTGCTCTTCAATGCATATTTTCTTCCAACCAATCTACCTGGTGCTCCCAGTTGGTGTGGGTGAAGTATTCCCATAATTCCACAAACTCTGCAGCCACTGACCTTTTTCCTTTTAATTTCTAGCTCCGGTGAATTGACACATGGGAGTGTGTCAAAAAGGGGGGTATTCCAGGTTTAACATGAAACAATGGTTTCTATGATCATTTTTATGATTTTTTTTTTTAGGCTGAGTATCACACTGGGACAGCAGGGTAAATGAAAAATGCTTTTTGGTCACATGTTAGAACGTGTGCAAGGAGGGAAAATGTTAGGATTTATTTTTTGATTTCTTTTACTAACATAAGCGGTTATAATCATTTTCATACACACATTGCAAATGTGCTCATGAGAGTCGGCACTCAGTCTTCTGAAGGTCATAAGCTTCGTTCGGCATGACTGTGTAGACTGATATATTGTAGGAAATGACTTAGAGTGCAGAGGGGTGACTGCAAACATGCTTACACACATAGATAATAATTAGACGAATTCTCTAGGCAGAGAGGTGTTTGCCTTTTCTGTCTTTTACAGAGGAAGGAGCAGACACCAGACGAGGTCACGGAGATATGAAGATCCTTCGCACCGAGACTGCCAAGACAGCAATTGGGGTCAAGGGTCATGCCGTTTGGGCTCCTGCTAGTCACCTCGAGAGGATCCCAGGACCACAGCAATAACCGTGAAGTGGTTGGCGGAAATCCAGAAGCACCAGACCAAGGCGGGTCTGGCCAAGAAAGGGGAACGTGGCTGTGACCCCAAAAGAAACATGGATCCCGGCCAAGGGGCAAATAAATCCCCTGATCTATGCAACAAACTGAAGGGTAGTCTAACCCCTGACGTTGAAGAAAGAAGAGGAGAAGAGCACAGAGAATCGCCCGTCCCGTAAGATTAGCTGTTTAACTGTAAAGAAGGTCTAAAGCTCCTAAGACAGAGGTTCTAGTCTGAGCACAAAGGTGGAAGCAGGAAAC